CACACACACACACACACACACACTCTCTCTTTTCTCTATGTCTGCTTGTCTGTCTGTCTGTCTGTCTGTCTGTCTCTCTCACTCTCTCTTTTTCTTTCTCTCTCTCTTTCTCTCTCTCTCTTTTATTCAATTTTTCCCATTCTCCTTCGTCCCTTCCCAAGGCCCGCCCCTCCTCTTTCATCCGTGCCCCATCCCCTCTTCCTTGCGTGCATCTCCCCACCCCGCCCACCCCCCACAACGTGGCCCAGCCCGATAAGATTCTATAAAAAGAAACGCCACAGTTCGAGATTTAGCCCACACTCGGCGGCCACATTTGATCCCCACCGCGGCGTACTGCTCGTGGCGCCGCGAAGAGAGAGAGGAGGCTCCATTAGTTCTAAACTCCTTGTTTGAACCAAAGATACTAACAGTAAACTCTTTGTTTGAACACAGGACACAGACCTCGCTGTTGCTTCAGCGTTCTTTAAAAGCCAGCGAGCTATGAATCATCTATACAGGGGAAAATACCATAGCATTAACTTGAAGACCCGGAAGTGCCTAGCATGGTAGGCGAAATTTTCGTGTATTCCATCATAATATTGCCCTCGCATTTCCTTTATTTCTACAAAAACGCAGGAAAAAATATGTTTGTTTACAATGATACTTTGTACAGATGATTCATCAAGGAGACAAGTATACCCTCCCCTGCTCAAAGAGAAAAAAGAAGTGGCCAGCACACTTTTGTCTTTTCCTATGTGAAACGCAAAGAAAAAAAAACATGCTCAACTGAAAACAAAAGCTTATCGGAGTTTATTTCCAACACATGTTAAAAGAGGGAAATGGGAGCACTATCAAGAACAGGACTCGCAACTCAAAATAAGAATATTATATTTTACGGTAGTTACTTTCCTTGAGCTGGTGGGTTTTTTTTATTGGTAGTACGTTGTTGTTATTTTTTAAATGATAATAAATAAATAGCATTAATAGCTGTTTGGGAACTTGTTCCAACCGGAGCTAAGATAGTGTGATATATATTTTTTATTTTATAAACTCTCTGTTTTTTCTGTTTCTCAGGTGTTTCAAATACCATCACGATTATAACGATGATGCATAAGGTACAATTAATGGAAATCGAAACTGCGCCTTATCATGTCTACTTTTATTAGTATTATGACGAGTCTTCCAGGTTCAGGTTTGCACCATTTCATGATTCTCGAATGAAGTGTGTCAGCAATTCACTGTAAGCCAAATAAATCCATCAATATATCAGTCACAGGTCGCGTCTCACAATTAGACCTCTAGATCTAGACTTATCTTGCGCATAGTTTACTGAAATTAAATAGTCGAGATCGAAAGAATAGAATCTGAATCTCTATTTTTTTTTTTTTATATAGACTGATGTAGGCCTTAGTCACAAAGATAGTTATGTACTATCATTGTTAGTCATGCATGCTAAATTTGAAAGCGATTACTCAGCGGACATTTAAAAAAAATAATATGGCCTCCTTTTGAAATCTTTTGCCTTAGTAATATTCTAAATTTACATTCCCTTTCGTTAGTATATATTGATAGCATTTAGGGATAGATAATTCTGTTCTCGGCCTGTTTCGTATTTGGTTTTATTATCCATGAGGTCTGATCACGTAGCCTATATGGCTATAATAATAATAATATATCCAGTGTAGTTGGAGTGATTCATAAGAAAGTGACGTCGAAGAATAATTTTAAGACCCAACTGATTTTCTAGTTCTCTGGGATGGTGTAAAAGAGCCGACACTATCATCATGTTTGTTCAAGTGCAGTCAAGTTCAGGTGGTGAGTTGGCCTCGCTCTATCAGATACGTAGATCTATTTCAATTTCAAGCAATACGGTTATTATTAGTCAAATCAATGATAGTACATAACAAGATGGGCCTCTTCTCTCTTTGAGCCAATTAAAAAAGTGTCCTCAAAATTTGGTGGCGCCCTC